TGGGCATTCGTCTATACTTCCATTTTATACTCCCAAATTTGCAGAACTACTTTTGAATAAGTATATGGCTTACATTCCTTTTTGGTCAGGGATTTTGTTATCTTCTACTGAAAATCGTGTTTCCAATGCCGTCGTTGAAAATGGGTTCAAACAAATTAAACAAGATGTGGTTAATAATAATAATTTATTACCATAGATCGTAAAAAAACACATATGAAAACCAAAATCGGTCGGTTCATTTCCAAATTGCAAGATCGAGTCGAGTCTTTATACAAAGAATCCAAATTTATCCCACGTACCAAACGTCGCCGAAAAATTAATGTTTCTTCTCCCCTCCAATCTTTTACATCGAATTCTAGTGACGCACCACTTCAGAATTTGATTAAAAGCAACTAAAACACACTTTCGACCAAAAAATCTCCAAAATGTGACACAAGTTCCAGAATTTAATGCATCTAGGACATCTCTCCAGTCCGATATCCTGTAGTTGAGGAGATATGGAAAAAACGTCCTTCACCCGAGTCTAAAAATAATTTTCAATAAAAAATTTTTAAAAAGGCAAGGTTAAACGAATTCATTCATACAAAGGAGGTAGACCAAAGAGACACCGAGCTCAGGTAGGTTGTAAATATCAATTATAATTATAATAGCATTCTTAATTTTGAATTACTAATTGTTTTAGCTCAGTACAAAAATTATGCGACTACATAAAGGGGGCCGGAGAGTTTCCAGGGAAATAATTGATAATTTAAGGCATGGGGGTACATCCTTTGAACAGAGAAGAAGTCCTTTAAAAGAGTTGTCTAAACGGTTGTCGTTGCGCGGAATGCTGCGGGCTTTTAGTGATCACTTTATGCGTATGCACTGATACGAAAATATTAAATTTTCAATCGCAGTAATCTGCTAATGCAGGGATGCTAGGATTAGTAATGCAATCATCTTCAGGGATGTTTTCTATTAGTGTTGAAATTGTATCTGCGAGGAGTGTATAGTTAGTCCTTATATTGAAAACTAATCTATTAAACATAATTAAACACTTCGTGTACCGAATTTTATACGTTATCACCAGGTCGGTGATAATACATAACAATTGGCGTTTTTTCCCTTCTTAACCTTAACCAAAAACCTTTAAAATAGAATAAAATAATACCTTACTAACTAGCCAGCTAAATAAAAGATCGTTTAAAGGATATCTTCTTATATATATATATATATATATATATATATATATACACATCATTCTATCATTATTGCGTCCATACATTTACCAATTACGCACATTATTGCGTCCTTGGAACTATTGCGTCCGAATATCGGACGCAATAAAGGCATCGCCTGTATTTCCATGTTCCCGCCATTTTATGATTCAAATACTATCAACGAAGGATGCACTGGTTTAACAGATTGCTATAGCACAAACCAGTTTTGAGACATCTCTTGCCGTTTTCGAGATATTAAAAGATAACGAATTTTTAGTGGACGCAATAATAGATGCAATTCGTACGAAGTTGTATATTTTTAGTTCAGCACTTTGCAGCTAGGGGCGGTAAATTAGTATACGCTTTCAAGTATACGTTTTACAAAGTTGGTATATTATTGCGTCCAACATGTGGCAACACTGTAAGCTATTTATAGACATCATTTCGATAAGATAATCATCTTTTTATATCTTAAATGAGGATAATTATTATACTCTCCATTCGTCCAGATACGTTTAATTATATTGGAGCTGATCTCCAAAAATGTAACAATTCAAAAAATTCTATTCAATAAAATTGTTTAACATAAAAGGTGGTATTTGGTTATCAACAAATTAAATTTCACTTTTGAATATTTTTGGTCGATGGTTAACAGCTGACCCCCCCTTTAAGGGCTGTAAATATTAACTTGGCGAGGTTCAATTGAAACGTGACGTCTCTTATACTATTCCCATCATTTAAAAACACATTTTTACTACAAGCCTACACTTTAATTTTGTTGCATTATTCCATAACCCAGAGCTGATGTCCAAAAATGTAACAATTCAAAAAATTCTATTCAATAAAATGGTTTAACCTAAAAGGTGGTTGATGGTTAACAGCTGACCCCCATTTAATGGCTGTAAATATTAACTTGGCAAGGTTCAATTGAAACGTGAAGTCTCTTGTACTATTCCCACCATTTAAAAACAAATTTTTATTACAAGCGTACACTTTAATTTTTGTGCATTATTCCGTAACCCCGAGCTGATCTCCGAAAATGTAACAATTCAAAAAATTCTATTCAATAAAATGGTTTAACCTAAAAGGTGGTATTTGGTTATCAACAAATTAAATTTCACTTTTGAATATTTTTGGTTGATGGTTAACAGCTGACCCCCCCTTTAAGGGCTGTAAATATTAACTTGGCGAGGTTCAATTGAAACGTGACGTCTCTTATACTATTCCCAGCATTTAAAAACAAATTTTTACTACAAGCGTACACTTTAATTTTTTTGCATTATTCCGTAACCCAGAGCTGATGTCCAAAAATGTAACAATTCAAAAAATTCTATTCAATAAAATGGTTTAACCTAAAAGGTGGTACTTGGTTATCAACAAATTAAATTTCACTTTTGAATATTTTTGGTTGATGGTTAACAGCTGACCCCCCTTTAATGGCTGTAAATATTAACTTGGCGAGGTTCAATTGAAACGTGACGTCTCTTATACTATTCCCACCATTTAAAAACAAATTTTTATTACAAGCGTACACTTTAATTTTTTTGCATTATTCCGTAACCCAGAGCTGATGTCCAAAAATGTAACAATTCAAAAAATTCTATTCAATAAAATGGTTTAACCTAAAAGGTGGTATTTGGTTATCAACAAATTAAATTTCACTTTTGAATATTTTTGGTTGATGGTTAACAGCTGACCCCCCTTTAATGGCTGTAAATATTAACTTGGCGAGGTTCAATTGAAACGTGACGTCTCTTATACTATTCCCAGCATTTAAAAACAAATTTTTACTACAAGCGTACACTTTAATTTTTTTGCATTATTCCGTAACCCAGAGCTGATGTCCAAAAATGTAACAATTCAAAAAATTCTATTCAATAAAATGGTTTAACCTAAAAGGTGGTATTTGGTTATCAACAAATTAAATTTCACTTTTGAATATTTTTGGTTGATGGTTAACAGCTGACCCCCCTTTAATGGCTGTAAATATTAACTTGGCGAGGTTCAATTGAAACGTGACGTCTCTTATACTATTCCCACCATTTAAAAACAAATTTTTACTACAAGCGTACACTTTAATTTTTTTGCATTATTCCGTAACCCAGAGCTGATGTCCAAAAATGTAACAATTCAAAAAATTCTATTCAATAAAATGGTTTAACCTAAAAGGTGGTATTTGGTTATCAACAAATTAAATTTCACTTTTGAATATTTTTGGTTGATGGTTAACAGCTGACCCCCCTTTAATGGCTGTAAATATTAACTTGGCGAGGTTCAATTGAAACGTGACGTCTCTTATACTATTCCCAGCATTTAAAAACAAATTTTTACTACAAGCGTACACTTTAATTTTTTTGCATTATTCCGTAACCCAGAGCTGATCTCCGAAAATGTAACAATTCAAAAAATTCTATTCAATAAAATGGTTTAACCTAAAAGGTGGTATTTGGTTATCAACAAATTAAATTTCACTTTTGAATATTTTTGGTTGATGGTTAACAGCTGACCCCCCTTTAATGGCTGTAAATATTAACTTGGGGAGGTTCAATTGATACGTGACGTCTCTTATACTATTTCCAGCATTTAAAAACAAATTTTTACTACAATTGTACACTTTTATTTTTTTTTGCATTATTCCGTAACCTCGAGCTGATCTGCGAAAATGTAAAAATTCAAAAGATTTTATTCAATAAAATTGTTTTATTTGTAGATAAGGTAAAAGTAAGTAATTATAGTAATAAATGAATGTTTTCTTATACGTGATCGATTTCGCTTTTATTTAGCATCTTCGGACCTTTATTAATTGACGCTAAGGTCCGAATATGCTAAATAAAAGCGAAATCGATCACCAATAACTTATAAGAAAACATTCATTTATTTATAATTATTTACTTCTACCTTACAAATTCAATACAAGTAATTACAATAGAGACATACGTCGACAAAAACCAAAATCAAAATTTTATACTAAGTTCCACACCTTTACAAGGAAAAGCAATTGGACTCGTATAATTAAATTAATTCCTGCCGGATCAACGTCCTCTTGAATATGTGATTAGACGAGGAATGACTGAGCATTAACATTGGCAACATTGCAGGACGCAATAATATACGGCGAAATGCATATACGGGTGTGACAATGGCGCATATGAAAGGACGCACGAATGATTCAATATGACTGAAAATTCGTATATCGAAATACTGGGAATTTTTGAAATCTGGTTAGGATTCTAGCCACGACATACGATTCCAAACCAACATTCGCGGCAATAGTTTAAGAATTCCTATCCGTTCTAGGAGACGCAATAAAGTACAAATACGTGCGGACGCAATAATGATAGCGGGATGTATATATATATATATGTATATAGACATAATATGTCGGTTATATTATAACCCCGATATCCTATGCCCAAAATGCAATATAGGGCAGATATACCATGCCCGAGACCGCCATACCAAGCCCGGCTTCGGGCATGGTATGGATTCCTATGTAAAAATTATAACAGCGACTGCCATCTGCGTGAGCACTTAGGTACTCGAATTTCCTGTGGGCATGGTATATCCCCCCAAAGTCTACAAAATATATGAATTTAGTTCATGCAAATTGACTGATGGGGGCGCTCCAAACGTATCCGTATATATTACATATATGTTATAGAAGTTCGGCCTACTGTACCAAGCCCAGTAGATACATTCGAATATTACAAGCCCGATGATATTGCAACATTGGCGTCTGCATTTTCGCTACGTACGGGCTTAGTACATCTGCTGTTTGATTTTATCATTTATATTGGCAAGTTACGTGCAACAGTAAGCATGAAGCGCTCAAAGCTATTATTACAATTAGCGTTGGTAAACAATACAGGTAAGCGAAATAATAAAATAAACTCCATATTTTGAAAGTAAAAAGTGCATTTGTAATTAGAAAAAAATGAGGCGATTTCCGTTATCAGCGGTGAAACTATTTCTAATTTGGAAGAAACCGCTGCTGGGTTGGAAGAGAATCAGAATATAGGTAAGTCAATATTTACTGCCATACTTAGTTCTTACATAATGCATTTAGAGAGACCTGATAAGATAACGCGGCCAGAAGAATCTGCAGGTGCGTCATCAGTATCAAGTATAGTACCTGAGACTGCGTCTTTTCCTTCTAGCGTAAGCATTCGATTTTATTTTTTTTATTTCCTGAAAAAAAAGAGGTACCTAATTCCACATTTCAATTTAATTTTAGTCAAATAGTGTTTGTGGTTGACACTATTTCTAAGTGCAGGTAACATTTCATTTCACTTTGGCCGGCTGGCAGCAAAAAGAACGCTTGTAGAAAGGCGAAGAGTGTACGACGTACGTGTACCTACCGGGCTGTGTAATTAACCACATTAGGGATGGGCCTACAGGGTGTATCCCCGAGCGTGATTTATTAACGTGGTGATTTTTCTGTTTTATCCTATCTTCTACAGTTTTGGTGAAATTAATTGTTTTCAACTTGGTATGTGGTTGGAAAAATCGCGCAACAACTCTTGTGTGGCAGAATTTTATCTTTTTTGTTAGGGGCAAAATGAACCATCTTTTGCAAGGCGCGAGTCTTAAAGAAGTCGATTTCAGGCGCTCAAAGGTTACCTCCCGCTGTGAATTTGGTTACGGGGTTTAAAGTCTCTCTCCTTCTTGTGCTATGAGAAGTGTCCCAAAAATTGACTACTATGTTGTGGACAGATTTCAGCTAAATCCACCAAAATGGCGCATTCAAATAACTCTGTGGCGGCGTCAAAAGTGGGTACTGACAAAGAAAATGTGGTAGCTTTGACAAGATCTTACTGATGGTGGGGTCAACACTTCAGACCCGAATTGCAGGTGAAAGGGGCGTGGGAAGTGGGTACCAACAAAGGGAAAGTGGCAGCCTCCGATAAGATCTTACTCGTGGCGGGGTCAAAACTTTAATTGCGAATTGCGGGTATTAGTGACGTCGGAAATGGATACCGGCAAAGGGAATGTGATAGCCTCCGACAAAATCTTACTGCTGGTTGAGTCAAAACTTCAAATGTGAATTGCGGGTAAAAGTGACGTCGGAAATGGGTACCGACAAAGAGAATGTGGTAGTTTCCGACAAGATCTTACTGATGGTGAGGTTAAAACTACAAACGCAAATTGAGGGCGAACGGGGCGTCGGAACTGGGTACCGACAAAGACAAACTGGAGGTCTTCGACGAGATCTCTTAGGTGGTAGGGCTAAAACTTAAAACGCGAATTGAAGGTGAAAGCCAATGCTTCAAATGCGATTTGTGGGTGAACGGAACGTCGGAAGTGGGTACCGATAAAGACAAACTGGAGATCCTCGACGAGATCTCTTAGGTGGTAGGGCTAAAACTTAAAACGCGAATTGAGGGTGAACGGGACTTGGGAAGTGGATACCAACAAAGGGAATGTGGTAGCCTCCTACAAGGTCTTACGGATGCTGAGGTCAAACTTCAAACGCAAACTGCGGGTGAAAGTAGCGTCGGAAATGGGTACCGGGTAAGGGACTGTGGTAGCTTCCGATAAGGTGTTAGTGATGGTGGGGACCAAATTTCAACTTGAATCGTAGGTGCAAGGAACGTGGGAAGTGGGTACCAACAAAGAAAATGTGGTAGCCTCCGACAAGATCTTACTGATGGTGGGGCCAACATTTCAAACGCGAATTGCGGGTGAAAGTGACTTCGGAAATAGGTAATGACAAAGGGAATGTGGTAGCCTCCGACAAGATCTTACTGATGGTGGATTGAAAACTTCCGACACTATTTACTAGCGAACGGAGCGTCGGAAGTATGTAGTTTACTTGTGGTGCTGCGTGTTTTTAATAGTTTTCACTACCTAGCAGCAAAGAATCATTTGCACGGAAAAATAATTCTTTCAAGTAGTTTTTTATACTTCGTTTTTATTAGTCAACATTCTTTGGCAAAGTAACTAAAATTAGATTTTAATTTGATGGATAAAATAAACTCTCAACCGTTTTATTTAATAGGTCATTTAAAAATTATTGAAATGAGCAGCGACTATAGTTTCGTCAAAAGTCATTATCAAGCTGGAATATTGAAACACTGACTAATTGACCTTTAGAGTACATACCTTAAACAACTTATGAAAACATCAAATAACGAACAGACTAGTGGGTTACAATTTAAAATTACATTTTTTGAAACCAGTATGAGAAAAATTCTCACTACCTTTCCTCCTTTCCTCATACTGATTCCAAAAAATTTTAAATTGTAACCCACTAGTCTGTTCGTTATTTAATGTTCTCATAAGTTGTTTAAGGTATGTACTCTAATGTTAAGGTCAATTAGTCAGTGTTTCAATTTTCCAGCTTGATAATAACTTTTGTAGAAACTCAAAACTGCTCATTTAAATAATTTTTAAATGATCTGTTAAATAAAATGAAGTATGGGGAAGGTTTAGAGTTCATTTTATCCATCAAGTTACACTCTTGAGTTTTTCCAACTATATGGATACTTACCTGCAATCATTAGATTTTAATAATAATAATTTTTTATGGTCTATTTTAAGGAACGGGAACCCTTTAGTGAATCGGCGTCAGAATATGTTCCATCGCTCTCAAAATCTTCGTTAAGTGAAAGCACCGCAGGATCTTTATCTTCGTGTCTGAGTGTTTGTGCGGTACGTATTTACACCACTGTTAACTTTGTATGTGCAGGTGCACAGAGTGTACCAATTGCTAGAAATCAGTTCTCTATTCCACGCGCGCGTATACTACACACTAACACGCCTAAGTGCTTTAAAGTGGTATTTATTATGTTACATTCCGATGCCATTCCCCAATTTCCACAAGATGCCGAAACAATTGCGCAGATCGGGATACGTGTAAATACTTCTATTAGTTTTGAATTACAAACCTACAAAAATCTATAATATAGGTATATAAGAACCTAGGTCTTTAGGATCCAAAACCTAATCTTTCTTGAACAACTTGCGATATGCGTAATTACTTCGGTACCGGAAACTTTATGAAATATAAAAAGGTTGAGACTCATTTCTTTGTAGAAACGTTACAAGGGGTTGTCTACCGTATACCATGCACATGCACACATTAGTGACAAAACTAAAGATGTTATTTTTCTAATATTTTGAAATTCACCTTTCAGAATTGTTGTACTTATGTTATTACGCTTTTAGCCAATTACCGCAATATTAGACGAACCCGCGGAACCATGCACCTCAAAAGTGACACGATATTTGGACAATTTGGTTTCTCATCAGTCAACTCAAGGCGTTCCAGAACCGGTTCTTGAGCATCCGGTAATTGATATCTCATAATTTATATCTAAACCATAAGACCTTTACTACACAAAATTCTTGACTTCAAAAATTCCTTCTCTTAACTATTTATAGGAGTGAATTTCCAAAAGTCAATACTTACCTCTTTACACCCAATCAGTTTTAGAACTCAGATTTATTAAAGTTAGTACGTGGTTTTAGGACAAAGAAAACCGTTACGTAAAATCGGCACCTACTCAAGAGCGAGCTACACTTTGTCCAATTTGCTATAAGGATGTTGACACACATTTCTCTCGCCACTTATTGCGACACCATAAAGATCACCAACAAGTTCAACTAATGGCTAAGTTAAAACCCAAAAGTAAGGAACGTCGAAGCATTGTTACAGCCTTACGAAAGCAAGGCTACTTTCATTTGAAAACGGAAAAGGATAAATTAAACCCAGTAAAATCTTCAAAAGATACTGCGACGAAGTATTTTGTATGTGTACATTGCTTAGGATATTACGCAAAAAATTCATTATATAAACATGTAAAAAGATGTACGCGTAGACCTGTCGACCAAGGAAAACCTAAAAGTTGGTTAGCAGAATCGCAATCCTTCTCAGCTTTGGTTAAACTAAAAAATGACAAGCTTCTGAAATCTTTACGTATAAGGGAAGAAGTTTTTTCTGTTATGAAACCGGATGAAATAAGCCATACAGCTAAAAGCGATCCCTTAATTATACTTTACGGAGAGCATTTAATAAGCAAGCACAAAAGACAACAAATCGCTGTAGTAGTATCTAACAAAATCCGGGAGATGGGGCGATTACTGTTGGCTTTAACCCGTAACTGGTGATGTGGGGTTTGTCAAACCCCACTGAAACTTGGAATTATTGCGATCCCGTTTGTGGTGGGAAGAGATGGTTGGTAGCCCATATAGCTTTCAGTTAGTTCACCGTAGCCAGTTCAATCTATCACACACGTTAGTGCAGTGGCGCTAAACTTAAATATTTAAGCGTTTAATGAGCGTGGGGTATGCGAAACCCCAGGTCACCAGTTACGTTACAGTTTATTTTTGTTCGCAACTTAAAATGGATTCTCTTTCTTCTGCACAACGTATGAACGTCGATGATCCTCGCTTTGAAGAGTGGGCTGCACTTCAATTAAATGAGTTGGAGAGTGATTTTAGTGGAGATGAAGATACAGTTGCACCTGACTTTTGCAGCGACCATGACTCAAATTCCGAGATAAGTGTTTCTGATAATTCCGAGGTGGAAAGTGAGCATTTAGAGACAGACGCATCTTCCGACGAATATCAACCGATACAAAAGAAAAGAAAAAAGGTTCGTAGCAGTTATTATGGGAAAAATAAGTTTAAGTGGTCTGTGGACCCTCCAAATCCAAATGTGCGCACGAGAAAACATAACATCATCTCGCATCTTCCTGGCATCATCGGACCTGCTAAACAAAAAGGCACGCATTCTACACAACTTTCTTGCTGGGAACTTTTATTTACTGAGGACATATTGAATGAAGTACTCCAATGTACCAATGAGAAATTGTTAGAAGTTCGTGAAAAAAATGTTCAACAAAACCGCAGTGAATACAAAGATCTCGATCTTATGGAGCTCCGAGCTTTTATGGGCATCTTGATGTATACGTCAATTTTTAAATCAAACCATGAAGACCTGGAATCTCTTTTTGCCACAGATGGTACGGGACGCGATGTATTCCGATGCACGTTATCACTGAAACGTTGTTTAGTCATTTTAACATGCCTTCGCTTTGATCATGCATTAGATAGAGAAGATAGGAAGAAAACTGATCCTACTGCGGCAATATCTAAAATATTCGACATGTTTATATTGAATTGTCAAGCATGTTACTCAATTGGTGAGTACGCTTGTGTTGATGAAATGCTTGTTGGTTTTAGAGGACGCTGCAAGTTTAGAATGTATATTCCTAACAAGCCTAGGAAATACGGCATAAAAATTATGGCACTAAACGATGCGAAAACCCATTACCTTCTCAACGCCTATATTTACTGCGGAAAGGACAGCGATGGAGTTACTCTAAGCGTTGACGAGCAAAAGTTCGGAAAACCAACGCAATCGGTAATACGTCTAGCTGCTCCTATTGTTGGGACCAACAGAAATATAACAGCCGACAATTGGTTTTCTTCGATACAACTAGTTTCCGAGTTGAAGAATAGGGGATTAACATATGTGGGTACGTTAAGAAAAAATAAAGGAGAAATACCAAAGGAATTTCTCCCTGCAAGAACTAAGGAGGTTGGTTCCTCACTTTATGGTTTCACGAAGGATACGACCATAGTCTCATTTGTACCAAAGCAAAGTAAAGCGGTTCTATTAGTTTCTTCTATGCACCATACTGCTGAAACAGACAACGAATCAGGAAAACCTGAAATTATAGCGTTCTATAATACAACAAAGGGTGGAGTGGACGCTTTAGATGAAAAATGTACAGTATACTCTACAAGTAGAAGGACCAGACGCTGGCCACTTGCAATATTCTACGCAGTGCTCAATATCAGTCTTGTGAATTCGTTTGTACTATTTTCCAGTTTTCCTGCAAATATATCTCAGACCAGAATGAATTTCATCAAATGTCTGGCAAAGCAACTAGTTGAACCCCATCAAAACAGATGTTTACTAAATCTTCGGTTACCACGAGAATTACGAATGACCATATCCAGGATTCTCCAAAAACCAGTTCCTGGCGTAATTCGGGAACAACTTCAAAAACAAGTTAGATGCGCCAAATGCCCAAGAAGTCAAGACAGGAAGACTAAATTTACATGCGCTGATTGTAGAGTTCCCATTTGCGGCAGTTGTACCGTAGGGTTTTGCACGGATTGTACTGTTTGAAAACACCACCGAAAATGACTTTTAAAGTAATTAATTCTTTGTTTTTGGTAGATCAGACACTTATTTAAATATTTTTGAAGAATGCCTAAGTTTGGTTTGTCCCAATTACTTTTGACAGCTTTTTGAGTAGCATTTTTTGTTATAACGCAATATTATGGAGTACATTACTATATACATTAATATACTAATGCTAATTGTGTATTTTATACCAACATTGTTAGTTTTCATGTTTTGTAATAAATATACTTTCATACGAATCTATTCTGAATGGGTTGTCTCTTCAAATTTTGTACCAAAAGCAGCATTTGTTATGGGGTCTAGCAAACCCCACCTCACCAGATGAGTGACAAAAATATCACATCACCAGTTACGGGTTAAAAGAGTTTAATCCACGATTGGAATCCCTGTTTAGTTATTTAAAACCGAATATGTTTGAATTTTTCGTAGCTGCAACAAAAAAGATTAGTGGTTATAACGAAACAAACAAAAGTTTCCAATCGCCATCCCTTGCGTTACACATGGGTACCTCTTTAAAGATCCTTTGCGATGTTGCCTTCAAAATAGTTTTAGAAAACCGACAAGTTAATCATATTACGTGGAGCAACCGGCAAGAGAAAAAAGCCGAGATAAAAGATCTTAAAAAATTAATAGAATCCCATTGGTGTAGTGAACTTTCAAGCTTAGCGTTAAAGTCTCTGAAAGAAAAACAGTGGCAAAAGCCAATCAGACTACCTCTAACAAGCGACATACAATTATTCCAGCAATTTTTAACCACACGGGCAAGTGAAGCGTTTACAAAATTAAAAGAAATGAAGGACCACGTATCCAGTTACAGAACTTTAACACAGTGTGTTTTGGCACAAACTGTTATCTTCAATCGTAAGTGCATCGGGGATGTGCAATATTTAAAGATTGATACATACAACAGCAACTGTAACACTACAAACAATGAAAGTTTTGTAGAATCATTATCAGACGTTGAAAAAGTGATTTACAAAAAATTTAAAAGAGTGGTTACAGGCGGTAAAGGATCTAAACCTGTGCCCGTCCTATTTTCAAAACAAATGCAAAAATATATAGAGTTGTTGCTAACGATAAGAAAAGAAACTAGTATTGTTCCACATACTAATCCGTATTTATTCGCCAATCCACAATCAAAGGATAGGTGGATGTCGGGGGTTAATGTTTTACGAAATTTGGCAAAAGACTGTGGAGCGAAACATCCAGAATTATTAACCTCTACGAAATTTCGGAAGCATATTGCGACAACTCTTCAATTGTTAAATATGGATAGCGATGAAGTAGAGCAAATTGCAAAATTTATGGGCCACACCCAAAAAACTCACGCAGAGTTCTACAGGTAACTGTCTCATTCAATGTAAAAATGAAACTTGTGGCAAATCTGGAATCGAATTTAATGATGGCAGATGAGTCACACAGTCAATTTCACTCTCAATAGAAAGTGTGTCCACGAATTTGGTGGGACGAAGGGGGGGGGGGGCAAAAAAGAGAAACCATTTATATTTTTATTTTTAGCAAAGCACGTCATTTATTTTATATTTTGAGTTAATTCCTATGTTTACAAGCAACACTTTCTATCAACAATGACATTTTTCGCTCAAAATAAAAATACGAAAGGTTTCTGCTCTTGAGCACCTCCATTCGTGGACGCACTGTATACTTTCATCAAACGTCTCAAAAACATTTGGTGCCTGCAAATTGATTTCGAAGTTTGATTTCGTTTATAGGTTCAACAGTAAATAACCCTTGATCCTATAAACATCTTACAATCAAATCGGAAGTAAATGGTGTACCATTAGCGTTTGATGGAAATGATTGGGCAACGATTTAGTTTTCCGTAATGTTTTAAACGTGCTTGTTTAGGTTACCTCAGGATATATATCAAACGGCAAAGGTTGCAAAAATTTTGCTACTTCTGGAAAAAGGCAGAGGAAAGGAGTTCAAGGGGAAGCGATTGGAAGATATTAATATAAATACCGATGTGTACTATAGTTCAGAAGCAGAAGACGACGGAACTGATGATCTGCCATTATCACAACGAGTTATCAACAAAATTTCTGTCGGAATTGATATGCCTTTAAATACCGAAGAGAATTTACCCTTAGATATAACGGAAAAGAGAACAGCTATCGAACAAGCTTCTAATTTTGATGAACAAGTTGCTGATACCGAACCAATCCTCTCCCACGCATCATGGAGTGAAGAAAACCTACCTTTAGATGTCCAAACTGAAATGAACTTACAAACGGAAGAACCGTCACAAGCTGGGATTGTAGAGGACAACCAGTTGTCAGAAAGGCCTTCGAAGAAATCGAAAGGTATATTCATCGCCGTTTTATTTTCACTTACATATTTTCTTTTAGGAGTATCGGATCGTAAACGTTGGTCAGAAATAGAGAAAAAGCTAGTTTTAAAACATTTCTCTAATCACATAAAACGTAAAATAACTCCAAAAAAAGGAGAATGTAAATTTCTTAAACAAAATGCTAATGTTCTTATCGATAAGGATTGGGTTAGAGTAAAAACGTTCGTTTACAATTCATTTAGAAAAAATTAAACATAACACTCATATACATTTATTAAATTTTGTCTTGTTATTGTTAAATTCGTGGAAGTTAGCAGAGTGCTCGCGCTTTGCACAAGTGTTACTTTAGATAAGGAAACTTTTAGTTGTTTAAGAACGAATTTCATAGGAATTTTGGCGTGGTAAAACTCGTAAAAGTGCCAGTCTAAGTTGATTTACGTTCGGTCATAGTTTCATTTATGCAATTATGCTATTGGTCCGCGGAGTCGACCGTTAAGCCTTTTCGGATCCGACATTCAAATTATTCATGGAAAAGCGTGGCAACGAGATTTGACGATACTGGGGGATAAATGGTTTTGAACAGCGAAGAGAAGGCGCTTATTGTACCGTTTCGCGAAGCCTACGTTTGTCTATGTGAGGATTTTTGGAAAGTTTATTGTAGCGGCGTTTGATAAAGTTACGCCAGTTTATTCGTCGAGTGTTGTTATTTTTGAAAGTCCGGGAACGTGTTTTTACGCCGGCATCGTCGAGGAGTTTAAGGTCTTTGGAAGGAGTTTGTTGGAGAGGAAACGAGCGGTACAATAACGCCATTTTGAGCAGCGAGAGTTCGTTTGTGTTGTATCTTACATCATCTGGAGGAGACGGAACGTTTGTTTAACGCCAGCATCGCCGAGGAGCTGTTGGAGTAGCTGTGTCAGCACATACCTGGGGCCGTGTTTGTGTTTTTTTTTTGTGTGCTTCGGTCGTGGGTGCATTTTGTAAAAAGGATTAGCACCGTGAGTACTGTCATTTTTGTTTTTAAATTTTAATTGTAAGAATCGCCGTCTGAGACGGTTTTGTGTTTCATTTCATGTCAGTCATTTTTTTTTTCGGATTTTGTAAATTTAGCCTTTTAAAATTTTTTTTTGTCATTTATTATTTGTGTGTGTAAAGTAAAAGTCAAGGATTCGAGTTTCTCAAATTTTAAGTTTTCTTTTTTTTTCCCGAGTGTGAAACGAGTTTGGTAAAGTAAAAAGGTTTGGATCATCGGTGGGACTTAGATTTCATTCCAGAAGTCAGTTAACAAGGGATTATTTTGTTTGGAATTTAAGGGAGGTATTAGCCACCGACCTGGCGAGGTTGCTACCCCTTGTCCGGACGAAGAAAAGGGGTAGTCGGACTCATTTTACGGGCCCTGAGATTTGTGTTTTTAAGAGTTTGTGTGGGATTGAGCTAGTAAGGGTAAGTTGTGATGGGTATTTTCAGGCTTAGGAAGTTTACACAACAGTATATTAACGCTTTACTACCCGCTGTGTGGGTTTTAGAACAGCAATTGTACTAAATTCTCCGTAACACTTAAATTAATAGCAAATGTCTGCATAAAGTTCTGTCAATACCCTAATTTTTGACAACTCATTCGTTAGGCTATTATTTGAACTTGATATATTAATAGTCATATACACGTCACTTTGATTTACTTGTCTTGTGCATTTGAAATGTGTCATACTGCCGTATAATTTATAATTTATCCAAGCTTAGGGAGAAACTCGCCGTTTCCAGACTTTCACTGGTTGGTAGCGTCTTATTTACCAGTCAGTATTCAGTAATGTTTTAACCCTCAAAGGTATTACATGCCTAACTTACTCGCGACGTGAGTGCGCTTAGACTTGCTTTTAACAATTATATAGACTATGTTTATGCATTAATAAAAGTGTTAGCGTAATTAATATTTAAATAAGTTGTAACGACTTGTTTAGATTATGTTTATGCATTAGTAATAGTATTAGCGTAATATATTTAAATAAGTTGTAACCACTTGTTTAATTTTCCTAACACCGCGGCCATTGTCGCTCGCCGTACGAGAAGCGACTCGTAACATTTTATTTGTTGGTCATTGCGACTAATTTCGGCGACGATCGAACCACAGTCGTCGATTTACAAACATTCATGGTCCTTCGAGCCGGATTTAATCAATATTAATCCAGAATAAAGTTAAGTACAACAGTTACGTGTGCGTAACGCATACTGCATATCAGCGGATTCTACATGCCAACGAGACAGAGAAGCAGACGATTCCGGATTAAGCCTTCCGTTCCACTTCTTCAGCACTCAGTGGTGTGAAAGCTTCGATCGATCAGATTGATACATCACAGTAAGCAATTTCAATATTCTCTTTGCATGAGCCTTCTAGACAGTTACAATATATTAGTACATTGCGTAGTAGCTTTTAGCCATGACAAATGAAAAAGGTGCCAATAAAGCCATAATTAAAGCTAACAACATTATTTCCAAGTTAGTACACCTGCAAAAACTTATTAATGAATTGCCTCCGCAATTAGATGAACCGCTTTTCCGCGAACTTAAGTACGAAACTGCATCTTTATCTTCACTTGAAGATAAATATGAGGACACATAATTATGTTGATTTAATTGAAAAATCACACGATGTCAGCCAATTGCCTTCACTAAACCAATTGCATGAAGAAGTACGAAAGATAGTACGCGCCGCAGCGGTTCGCGAAAGTAATATTGACGCATCTCGCGTTTCGAGTGCATCTAAGTATTGATCGCCGAGTAGTAGGGTAGTAGGGCCAGTTGTGGACCAGCCACCTGGGGGTGACCTTGGAAAGTAGGTCAAGGATGACGGCCACTGCCCCCCCCCCCCCCACCCCGCAAGATGTAAATCCTGTTCTCTTTTTTTTGTGGTGTCGTATTTCATATTTACTCCTTCAAATAAACAGCTGTTAAATGGTAAATATTTTACAGTAAGTTTTGTACTTACAGATCGTAGCTAGATATCGGAAACGGCAATTGAATGTTCTGGTTATTCGTCGACATGACGTTGTAGGACTGGGTTTGTGACAATAAGTTGAAAAATTGATATAGTCGGTAGCTACATACGTCATTCCAGGACTATTATTTAAAGGGGAAATGGCAAATTACTGGAAAAGTAGGTCACTGACCCCACTTTTCCGAGGTCATTATTCCCATTTTTTATTGGGGAAGTCAAATGACATCTCCAAGGTGAACAGAGGTCAATGGACCCCATACATTCCCAAGGTTATTGATCCCATACCTAACTGCGGTGACGTTGGAAAGTAGGTCAAGGTAAAGTCCAAAGAGCACTTGCTCCCCGCTCTCCTCTGGTAATAGTTACCTGCAACGTATTGATCAAAGGTCACTTCAAGTTTATAAACTAGAGGTGAGTTCAAGGACATATGATTAGGATATAAAGCGCGTCCGTGTACATGATAACTCAGTCAGTCGACTCCTCGAATTAAAGATGGATTTCTAGTGAACTTGAATTATCGAAAAAGTACAAAGTGTTGGAAAGTGATGTGATTAATACCAAGTACGGGGAACGGATAATAATAATAGATACTCATGACTTTAAGTGCATATTACCTCAACGCTTTTTCAACTATTTCAAAGTGGGGAACCGCATGGAAGAATGTAAAAAATCCCTAAAGGCTGGTGATGTGTACATGGCTAGTTCGGGTGTAGTCGGAAAAACGACTAACATAAGTGCTTGTTCACAATGAGCGTAGTCGTAAGATTTACTTAAGACATAACATTTTCGTTATTCGTAAAGTGACATTACTGTTTACAATGGACGTAAACAAGAAATACGTACGCTTGCGCTTTACAAGTACAAAACCACTTCCCGCCGTTATTTTTAAATTACTATAACCTATAAATCTACTGCAATTTAAAATACATAATAATTCGTTTTTGCTAAAAAACTAGTAATGGACAACTCAATTTTAATGCAACGATTGTTATTACTACTGCTGTTAAAAAGGAGACAGTCAGAGTCAAGAAGGAAACAAAGACGATGGTGGGTTAGACCAATTAATGTAAATAGAGAAAAAAGAGGCGAATTTCACAGAATAATGCTGGAGTTGAAGCTGCATGATGCAGAATGGTTCTTCGCATACACAAGAATGGATTCTGTTTTATTTGAAAACTTATTATCATTGGTTGGTCCACATTTGAAGAAAAACAGTATCCGAAAAGCGATTTCTCCTACTGAGCGGTTCTTAATTGCTTTAAGGTTACTAATACTAATATAATTATTGCATATTTAAATTAACAATGTATTACAGGTTTTTAGCTACTGGGGATAGCTATTTCTCGATCGCACAAAGCTATCACATTAGAAAGTCAACTGTGTGTGTTATTATTAACGAAGTTACAAATATTTTATGGAACGTTCTTCAACCTATTGTTCTGCAAGCACCCTCTCAAGAAACTTTAAAAGATATTGCTAATGACTTTTTACATTTTTGGAACTTACCTCATTGTATTGGCAGTATAGATGGAAAACACATACGTATTACAGCACCAGCTAAAAGTGGCTCACTGTTTTATAATTACAAAAATTACTTTAGTATAATTTTGTTAGCAGTATGTGATGCACAATACAATTTTACATTTATTGATGTCGGAGCATACGGGTCAGTAAGTGATGGAGGAGTAATGAATACCTCTACGTTTGGAAAGAAATTGTTTAGAAAATTGTTACCATTTCCTCCAGAGCAAAATTTGTTTGGATCCAATATTGTAATGAAATATTTCTTTGTTGGTGATAATGCATTTCCATTGCATGAACATCTCATGCGGCCATATTCCGGGAAATGTTTAAATATTGTCAAAGCCGTATTTAACTACCGTTTGTCACGAGCCAGACGTGTTATTGAAAATACATTTGGTGTTCTTGCAGCCAGGTGGAGAATATACCATCGGTCAATTTGTGCTTCGCCTGAGAACGTGGACAATATGATAAAAGCAACAGTTGTATTGCATAATTTTATAAGAAGCAGTTTACCTATGAGGGAACGTTACTGTCCAATTGATTATATAGACCATAACAATATTTTAGGAAAGTGTAGGGAAGAAGTAAATGGGGCATTATTGGAACCATGTTTCAGACTTGGAAGTAATAATGCTTCCAATACAGCAAGTAAAAGTAGAGACAACTTAGCCAAGTATTTCTTAACTCCAGCGGGGTTTAAAGAAGGCCAATTAGAGTATGTTAAAAGAACATAATAAATTTAATGTCATTGCACATTCTTACAACAAAAACTATGTTCACTTTAAACTATGTCTACTTATAAATAAACATGCTTATGAATTAAAAATTAAATTCATAATTTGCCCTTTTATTTGATTTCTTTTAGCCTTATCTGCAATTTGGTTGAGTTCAAGTGCAACGAGATTTCCAAACGCCTGTTCTCCTGAATATTGCACATTAATGGTTTCTAAGGTTTCCAATATTTTTGTATCCACATCTTTTTTTTGTAGAGGTTCTGTTCTTTTACGCTTTCTTCTCTCATTCATATGGTCTAAACCAATAAAACATGAATTACATTCTTCTCTTTACTGCATGCTTAATGATAAAAATTTGACCTATAGTATGAACCTGAGTACGTGGGAAACTTACCTTCAGAAATTTTTGAAGATGATGTGGTGCCTGCGTTAGGCAATAGAGATTCTACACTTTCTGTATTACGAAGAGTTTCATTGAGGTCTATATTTGCCGATTCATAGTGTACACCTTCATTGCAAAATTCAGAACTGTATGACTCTCCACTTGCTACTTCTTCCTCCTCCTCCACGATTACTGAATCACCAAGCGACGTGTTCAAAGAGGTGATTACGTTGCTTGAGTTACGATCAACCCTAAAACAAACGTTTAAAAATACAGTTAATTACTTTGTTATACATACCTTCGTTGTTGGATGCACTCATCCAAGAACTGCAAATCCCCAAACCAGGTCCAAACCGGTGTGGTTGTTGCACCACTCCCGCTTGGTCGATTAGTAATTTTTTTTCTTTCTCGGGTATATTTCTCCCGTAAGCTTTTCCACATCTTTTCACAGTTTTCACCTACAAATACTTATTCGGGTATTCACAAAGATTAAACCAAAAATACTTAAATGGTACTATTTACAGTGGCAGCTATTTCTTTCCAGGCATTTTCTTTGCGAATAATATCTTTGTAATATTTATGCCCCTTACTATAAAGATATTCTTTTAACCTAACTAAATTAATTAATAGTTCTATATCTATTTTTTCCATATTGACAATTCCAGTACTTGTAGCGGTCACAACAACTTAAGTAAATATGTAGTAGCACAGATGACAGATGTGTTATGATAAGGTTATGATTGAAGAAACAGCTGCACGAAGTTCGAGACGTTATACCAATTCCCCCATTTATGTAACTCTGTGGAATTAAATTCCCTAGATATTTCCGTAAGAAATTCGTAAAGTTGAACAAACTTCAACTTTACGTTTACCTTACGTAACCGCGCAAAGTATACGTAATACATACAAATTACGTAACCTCACTCTGAACAGGTGCATTGGTTTTTTATTGTTTCAACTTTACGTTTTACGTTTACACTATGTGTGTCTATATGCTTACGCTCATTGTGAACAAGCACTAACTTTCTCTTCATAGTGGAAATTTGTGCGTTGTACATGACTTAATCAGGGCGCCGACTGAAAAATATTTAGTTGTAACGTAACTGTGAACCAGTGAACTCATAATTTAAATATATAATGCAGAAGGCAATAAATTCATTTGTGGAACGATCAAAGCTGCGAAGTACGCCTTTACATATGGATACACCGAATTGTTGCAACAATAGTGTAAATAATAATAGTTTAATATGTTGCTGTTTAGCTTTGTGATTACATTACTACAAACATTACTAATACGTAATTTAACTTTTAATAGCATTACGCCACCAACTGTAGCAGCCGCCGTGGTGTCGCATCATCTCCCGCCATCTCAGCAGTTTGGTGGTACGGATCTGAGCATCCTGCGTCGGGAGACGAGCGACTGCCAGGTCCCCCCTCAAGAGCACCATCAAGTTGCACGGGTGCAAGAGGTGGGGCCGCACCAGCAGCAGCCGGCACCACCACCACCTGCGCGACCACAACAGCCCTATCAGGCCCAGCCTTTGTCGCAGCCGCATTAGCTGCTGCCACCACCACCCCCGCAGCAACATCGGCGTCAGACACGTGGACGCCGGCAGCAGCAGCCTCCTCAGGTTATGATGCTCCCGCCTACTGATCTGAGGGAGCTTAAGGAAAACACCTTGCACTGGCTGCAGGAACCGCATATCAGCTACCGGCAAAGTGAGACCATGCTCTCAAATAGGGCGGCCCAATTACATGCCGACCTATTTGAGACCAACAACAATTTAGAGACGGTGCGGGCTAATTTGTCTAACACCGAACAATTTATTAGGTGTTTGGATGTAATTTTAGTGTTTGCATTTTTAGGGTTTGTATTTTAAATATTTTATTCATAGTAAAGTGTGCATATCTCCACACATACACACACTTAGAAAGCTTTCATTTCAGAAAAAGCAAAGACGAATTCAAGTTGGTGTATTTGAAAACGTGATCTGCGTGTTCTGTAGTACTTAATTCAAAGTGCCACTTCAATTGGACTACATTATTTATTTATTTATTCGTTTAGCCAGATACCATACAGAATACAAGTATTCCAATTACATGGCACTGGGATGCTGTACTTAAAACTAAAACTACATAGTAATTACGATCTTATATGCCTAATTAATTCATTCAAAGAGCCGTGAAATATATCGATGTCTCTCTCACGGCACTTCTTATTTAAAACAGGCTCCTCGATAGTGGCGATGACGGAGTGGTCACTAAAAAGATGATATCGTTTTTCCTTAATTTAACATGTGGCACTTTGAGTTTAATTTCCTGAAGCAATTCTGGGGCATTTAGGTGATTATTCATTCAGTATCTTGTACACAAAGGTAGCACAGGTCACTTCGCGTCGGATTTGTAAACTTGAGATTTTAATACCGTCCACACTATTTAAAAATTTTAGTTGGTTGGAGTAAGAGATTAAATGTGGAAAATTTTGAGTCGACCTAAAATTTCGCACTAATTTTTTTTTAACTTTCTCTATCATGTCTGCGTGCTTATAAGTTTGGGGTGTCCAAATACATGCCGCATAATCGAGTTTGGATCTGATGAACGCATTGTATAAGGTAATAATTGAGGAAATGCTTGTAAAATTGTAGGTATTGTAACGTTTTCTAGTAAGCAGTTACAGGTTTTGTAAATACTGCAAAAGCAATTTAATAGATGTCAGCATATGAATATGAATTCAATTGATGAGATAACATTATCTCAATGCAACGATATCCTGAAACTCGCGGATACTATGTGTCCGGGAGTTTCGGCACGCGTCACTTCTGCGGATTTTCTCGCAGTCGTGAACGCAACCGGTCAGGTCCTGGGCCTTCATCGTTCCCCCTTAAAGAGGGCCCGGTTCGACCCACCTGCCTCGGTGGTAACCGACTTGGTAAGGGCTTGTCGAGCGACTAGCTCCTTACTCGCTGAAGCAGCTCCATCGTTTTTGCCTAAGGCAAAGCCAAAGAAAGCTGCCCCTGCCACTTCGGATGCCTCCAAAGGGACGCCCAAAGCGGCTGCTGCCGCGGGGGGGAAGGGGAGTGCTGCTGTGAACCCTAAAAAGGCGTCACAGCAGGACAGCCCTCCTTCAACCTCCGCAGTAGCTGCGGCGGTACCAAAAACTCCGGCGGTCGATTCACTCAATGTCTTCGTTCCTACAAGTCACTATTTAGTGACGAGGAAAGGACGAAGAACAAAGACGATAGGAGATTACTCCTTCGTTCCCAGGTGGATGAGGCCTGGATCAAGACGGAGGTAGCTAAGCTATCTCTCGAAAAGATTCAGTCTCTAGATCGCTCCATCCCACCGCTAATTCTTCTGGGCGCAATGGACCCTGCCGTTTTCGACAAGGTCTGGCACCTCGAAGTAACTGCGGAGGAGTGGTTGGAGAAGGCGCGCGCGGCCTATGCTGCCTCGGCAACGGTCGCGTCACGTGCTCGCAAGGAGCGAGCAGAGAGCCAGAAGGGATCGTCCCCCTGCCTAGTGGCAGAGGTTCGGCTTCCTTCGTCAAACATACCTGAAGGCGCTATCGCTTTCTTTGACTGGTGGAAGGAGCGTCTCCTCGGATTAAAACCCGAGATGATCGCGCCCATCACGCATGATGGGGTCCACCGGTCGGTGTTTGATTTCCGGCCCTCCAGGACGAATAAGCGTCCGCACCGAATCGTGGTCAGGGGTCCCTCCGATGAGGGGGCCCCCCGTAACACGCTTCGCCTGCAAATTTATCTTTTATCTAACATTCTTGACCAAGGGGTCAAGATAGAGACATTTTGAAATAGGGCGAGGCTGGTGGTCAGTTTTTGAGCTGAGTATTGTTTTAAATTAAACTTTATACCACTGGTGAGTACAATCTCCGATCACCATAGGCGGCTTTCCTATTTTCTCTTATTCTGAAAAAGAATAACGCATCACAATTGGATAATTAATGAGGTGATCATACTTCCACCTAACGAGCCCATCTGGTAGCGTCGCGTGGAGAAACGCCGGCTTGGACCACCTCTTTGTACTGCCGTATTTGCACCAGTTAAATAGCTCCGAAAGCAAGGTCAGACTAAGTTTAATTACTGTTCAGTTGTGAAGCATGTCGGCGACAAGTCTATACCAGCATTAAGCATTGTGGGCAAGGCGATCACCCTTTAGATCTAAAACAAAAGTACCTACAGTGGCGGATCCAGGGGGGGGGGGGGCATG